TAAATGCTAGTTGCACTGCTTTGTTTATAATTGTTAATATTAGAGAACAGTAGACAAACACAGCCTTGTCCTCACTGCATGTGTAGTTCCAGTACAGATCTGACCTATGGCTGAGTTTCTTCTATATGAGTAGAAGTTTTTGTTTTTTGGTTGTTTTTTTTTTTTTTTTTTTTTTTTTTTTTTTTTTCTTTATTACTCTGAATAAAACTGAACTTTGGGTTCTCTGTGGAAAGTGGCATTTGGGCTTTCCCTCTTTCTGTAAAGCCATTTCTGCCTAGTTCATTGTCCAGTTAATTTCAGTGAGCCTTTGTAAGTTGGCATTGTAAATAAAACAACTTATGAGAAGTATTCTGAAATAGAATTAACAAAACATGATCTTTGTTCATGAGTCGGAAACTTGAACAAGGCAACTTGAAGTTAATGTTGTGAGTGGGGTTGTTAGAATTAGGATGTCTTTCATCCTCTCTGCTGCTGGTAAGCTTGTACACAGCTGGGCTCTCTTAATTGGATCTGAGGACTTATTTTATCTTTTTTTTTTCCTTTAATTTTTAATCTCAGCTTTTAATATGTTGCTAGAGATGTAGTTTACTACCCAGTTTGGTTTTGGAGGGGGCTGTAATTAGATTATTTTCTTTGCTTTTCAATTAAAAAAGACTTACTTCATGTGGTATGTCATCTTTTTATCATCATTGTTCCCACATGGGGAAAGACACTACTTGCATGTAAAAAATTATTTAATCTTTAACATTAAAGTGTACCACAAAACTCAGAAAACAGCCTTACTAAGTGCAAGATGCTTTTCAATAAAAAGTAATACAATAGGTAGTAAACAGTTGCTTTTGTGGATATAAATGTGTCTCTTCACTTAACATATTGTTTGTTTTGGGGGTTTGTTTTTGTTTTGGGGGGGCGGTTCTTAAGACATGGTTTCTCTATGGCTTTGGAGGCTGTCCTGGAACTAGCTCTTATAGACCAGGGTGGTCTCGAACTCACAGAGATCACATTCCCTCTGCCTCTGGAGTGTTGGGATTAAAGGCGTGAGCCACTACCGCCTGGCTAAGTTTGGTTATTTTTTAATTGAAGAGATTCTTAGGTGGTTTGTCTTTAACTGGAGACTCTTAGCATTTGTGTGGTTCCTTGAAACCAAATGTTTAGTCAGTTCTTTTTTTTCTTTTTAAAGTAGTTTAATTACATTTTTTAATTTTGTGTGTGTACTTGCATGCTTGGTACACACAACTGTGACACATTTGTGTTGGTCAGAAGATGACTTGTGGGAGTCAGTGCTCTCCTACCACTTGTGTGACCCAGAGATCAAGCTCAGGTTGTCAGACTAGGTGGCAGGCACCTTTGCTTACTGAGCCTTCTTACTAGTTTGCCCGTCCTCCCTTAAAGCTTTGCTTAGTTCCTTTTTTTTGGGGGGGGGGGTGTTCGAGACAGGTTTTCTCTGTAGCTTTGGAGGTCCTGGAACTCACAGGGATCTGCCTGCCTCTACCTCCTGATTGCTTAGTTCTTAAGACATATAACTGCTTAACCACTATTTCTAGCTTCCTCTTTATGGTAGAATGGTTTTTACTTAAAATGTGGATTGGCCTAGGGCCTTGCACATGCTAAGTGCTCTGCATCTGAGCTACATTCCCATTTGTTTTCCACACAGATAGAAAACATGTCCTATCTTGTTTTAGTTTGGTTCTTTGTAAGTATTTGTGTTTCAGCTTGAAATATAACTTCAACCTTTGTTAAAATACAAAAATATAGCTGGGTGGTTGTACTAAAAGGCAAAGGCAGGCAGATCTCTTTGAGTTTGAGGCCAGCCTGGTCTATAGTAAATTCCAGGACAGCAAGTACTATACATAGAAACCCTGTCTCAAAAACAACAAATAAATACAATACTGTGTCTATGAGATGTTGGAGTAGATAAAAGCACTTGCTGCCAAGCCTGATGATCTGAGTTTGATCCCAGGAACTCACAAGATAAAAGGAGAAAAACCAACTCATACAGCTACTCTGCCACTTGAATGCATGGCACAAAAACATCCACACACATACTTAAAAATGTATGTGAAAATAAAGCACCAAAAAGTATAAGTTGTTTATCGGGAATTCTTTTAGAAAGAGCATTTTCCCCTGTGATTATTCTCAAGAAATAGTCATCCCCCCCCCCATTGTGCTGGTTCAGTGAGGGGGGAAAGTAACAACTGTTCAGTGTTAGCTGGAGTGTTTCACTTAGAAAACCCAAGTCTTGGCTAAAGTTCTAGGGTTGCTGATATATACCATGTTTATAAAGCAAGTGTCAACTTCTAGGGAGAGGAACCTGTCTGTGAGCCTTTTTTGAATCAAGGAGGGACAAGTACCAGGTCCTGTTGTGTGGCCCAGGCTGAACTCATTGGACATAACAGTCTTACCCCAGCATCTCCAGTGGCTGCAATGGGGGGTGGGGGTTTATAGCATCTGGCTTCGTTGTTGCTTTGTGAATTAGTAAGCCCAGGAATTATGAGAATGGCAGGATCAGGAACATCACTATCTGTATGTCAAAGAGGGGGTCTCTCCTTGACTTTTTGAAAGTTGTAACCTAATCTTTCTTGGTGGCTGTCTTAGATATAAGTCTCACTATATAATATATTGTTATTGGCTTGTATCAAACTTCAATCTCCCAAGGAGCTGAACTCTATATGCTCAATAGTCTCATTGTGATACCTATTCTTATTTTGGTTCTCTGTGTAGCTCTGGTTGTCCTGAAACTCACTCTATAGACCCTGCTGGCCTCAAACTAAGAGAGATCCACCTGCTTCTGCCTCCTGAGTGTCAGGATTAAAGGCTGGTGGCACCACTGTCCCTCCCTTTTTAAAACGTCCTGAAGTACTTGACAAGTTGAAAAAACAGTATCTGCTATTTTTTTTTTTTTTTTAATGGTAGTGTATCCAGGATTTGGAGGCCACTGAAGGCAGACAGGGATTGTCTTTACTTAGCAACACTGTTCCATGCATTCCTGTATAAGAATCAGAAGTGAGAAACCCCATGAGGTAGATAAGTTAGGCACAGAATGACAGTGAGGGGAAACTGCTCATCGCCTTGGTATTTGAACCCAGGGTTTTGTATGTCAGCTACATCCCCCAGCTCAGGAACCAAAAACATCAAGCCTCTTGATCAGCCTTCAGGTTTAACTAGGAAACTGCCTTTTGTCAGCAAAGACGAAGGTGCTTGGCAGATTCATGATTGCCAGCTAGGACTGAAGAATGTGCTGGATTACATTTGTACCTGTACAAAATGCATAGCTGCAACCTACAATGCAGTGCTTTTTTAATGCTGTAAACTCCTGTGACAGTTGTTCGGTTTGTCTGCTTTTACTTTATGATATCTATAATTGTGTGTGTGTGTACAAACACCAATGAAAGTCAGAGGACAACTTGGGAGAATCATTTCTAACCACATCAAGCTCAGGTCATCAAACTTGGCAGCACACTTTTTACTGGATGAGCAGCTGTACTTTTTATTTTGAGGTAGGGTTTCACTCTGTACCTGAAGCTGGCCTTGAACTTTGAATCCTGTGAAGTGTTGGTATTACAGACTTGTTAAATTCCAAAAGCCTGAAGAGCTTCCCCTTAACCTGGCTGACTGGCCCTCCCTTATGTAGCCAAGCCTAGTTTCCAATTCTGTGTATCTTATTTTCTATGTTTACCTCCCAAGTACTGAGTTTACAGGACTGAAAAGCTCTGAAGAGACTCCAGGAAACTGACATAGCCTTCCTAATTACAGAGAAAAGCCAGCTCAGCTTTACATAATTGATTTGGCGTCTTAATTCTTTTTCGATACAGTGGCCTGGCAAGGATTTGATATAGCTTTGCAGTTCTTGCCCTTCTGTTTTCCCAGGAACAGATGTAGGAACAGAATGTAAAGTGCCATCCTATTTCTATTTAGGCTAGGCCTTCCTATCACTGCTCATTGTTTCCTGGACAGAGATAGGCAGTACTTCAGATCAGATTCTGCTTTCACAGCCAAAAGGAACTTTACATATAGGTGGAGCTCAAAAGAATCCAGTTACTGATTTCCCAAAGAGGGAAATTTTTCTGCCTTCAAACTGGAAGACAAAGGGAGGCCCTGATAGCATGCTGGGCTCAACTCTGACCTTGTCCATTCAGCATAGGATCAGGGAAGTCTTAAGTCTGCCATTTGTGGAATGGGTCAGAAAGACTAGGGGGGGGATATCCTGTTCCTCTAGTGGGTTCATTTTTGGCTGGCTGTGTATAGAGATTGGCATATTTGCAGTTAAATTAGGGTTGTATTATCAAATCCTTAAGCCCTCAGGTCTCAGGAATGTAGTGTTGTGATTTGGGAGGATTCAAATTTTGTTTTTGGAGTTTGTTTTTCTAAAGAGTTGTTCTTGTTCTAACAAAGTTGCCAATGTATCCCCCACCACACACACCAGCCCTGCACCCTACAAAGAGTGTATTGTTCATGTACCCACTGTACTCTAAAGTACATACCATATCAGATACAAAATAAAACCCCAACTTGCTCATGGTAAGAGTGTAGAGTTTTTTGTTTTGTTTTTTGACAGGGTTTCTCTGTGGCTTTGGAGGCTGTCCTGGAGCTAGCTCTTGTAGACCAGGCTTGTCTTGAACTCACAGAGATCTGCCTGCCTCTGCCTCCCGAGTGCTGGGATTAAAGGAGTGTGCCACCAACGCCTGGCGTAGAATTCCTTAAATTGGGGGAGGTATCTAATCCTCCCCCCAAAAGGTATTAAAAGTCCAGGGTTGCAATTTCCAGTGGTCTACATACTTTGGGGTATAAATCCAAATAATGTTCTGTGAACTGAAAGCTGCAATTCAGGATAAGATGGCTGTCCTAGAAAATTCATTTTCTAATGGTTGACCTGAGGTGGTGTTGGTACCATTTATATTCATGATAAGAGCTCTAGAAGTTAGCAGCACAGTATACTTCAGCATGGTGTGACCTGCATGTAAAAATTATCACTCAGACTTCATCAGAGAAACTACTTCAAAATGTCTCAACAGGCAGTCCTTATAAGAATAGAGTGCTGCTAAATCTTGGTGTAGAGAGCTGGGGGGGGATGGTTCATCAGTTAAGAGGTCCTGAGCTCAATTCCCAGCAACCTGAGTGGGGTCTAATGCCCTCTTCTGGCATAAAATATCATGCATGCAGATAAATTTTAAAAGTCTATGTAAGTATAAGACTTGCTTATTTTCCTTAAAATAAGCATGGGGTATCTTTTCTCTCTGCCCTTAGAGGAAAGTAGATCCTGAATACATTTCAGGTTGGACTCTCCAGTGTCTGGATGGCAACTCCCAGCTTATTAGTGCACAAGGGTACTGGGGAGAAGGCTGGTCTGCTTCAGTTGTAGTGTCAAAAGAATAAAGAGTAGAGCTTGGAAAGTGAGCTCAGCTGTGGCGATCAGGACTAAGCCCTGTAGGAGACTCTTGAGAATGATTTTTGATTTTTGTAGCTTTGGCAATCTTGGGATCTTTGTACATAGTAGGGAACACACTCCATGTTTTGTGACAGCTAAGAAAAGGAAAATTAGGTAGGCACTGTTAATTGAAACAGCTTACTACTCAATCAGGCTTTGAAAAACAAACCCAGTAAAAAGTATCTTTATTCTCTTGTTTAAAAAAATTCTTCTATGATAATGAATTAATACAAAAATACTTTGGATACTACATCAGTTTTTGTTTTTTCCTTTTTGAGACAAAGTCTCTATACAACTCTGGCTGTGCTGGAACTCAAAGAGATCCATCTGCTTTTACCTCCCAAAGACTGGGATTATAGGTGTGCACCACCACACTCTGCCAGTCTTTTCAACACTACACTAGAAACATGATCTTTGGATTGAGAAACCAGTGGCTAAAATAGAAACAAAATGCTTTTTTAAAAGTGTGTAGAATACATGGATAACCCCTTTTCTTTGGATTCAGGCTATATACAGTAAAGAGAAAAAAGATAAACAAAAAAACTTGTTTTTCAAGGCTCAGGGTTAAGTTTGGCTCAAAAAGGGTTTCTAGAATGTGGCAAAGAACCATGTCCACAAGAGATTTATGGACTCCTTGCTTTAGTTGTAACAGATATGTTCCTTCCTGCAGCCCTATAGAGAAATTGAAGCTGGCCAGTTCTAAATGCTGAAAAATGGGCTCCAGCGGTTGGGGAATTTGCCCTCTCACAGCTGCCCAGGAGCTATGACTCAGCTGACATAAAATGGAACTGGGAAGGGGGCACACTGGGCTTAGGCCAACTTCAATTTATTGACTGTAGTTTCTGGGGCTGATGAGTTTCTTAGCAAAGATTTCCAAGTCATTCTAATTAAAGCTGAGTACTGTCCACCAGTAGCTAGGGTCGGTGTTATTTTGTTGCCTAGGTTAGAAGAGCCGTAGAAGCTCAACCTATCCCATTTCCTCTTGCAAGCTCCTGAGAACATAGAAGCATCCTCTGGCCCAGCTTATGAACAGCAGCTGTTATTTGTAAACAGAGCTTCTCAGCTCCTCAAGAGAGAAGCGTTATTATTTAGACTTTTGTGACTGGTGACCAACCACAAAGTCATCTTGTATGATAAACCAGGTATTCTTGGTCCAAGAAGTATTGGCATGGGGAAGGCGTGGCAGAGGGCAAGAGAAGCACTTGCAGAGAAGGCAGCTGGAACTCAATCCAGCCCATCTGACCTGCAACAACAACAACAAAACAAAAACCAAAAGACAGTAGGGGCATCCAGCTATCAAGACATAATAAGTGGCTGCCACAGGCACCAGGATGCCCTTAGTGAGACATATAGCTGCACAGATCTGATCCCCACCACTTCAATGGATGGCCTCTGGTTCAGGGAATAGTGAAGCAGCCTTTGCAATCTTCAGCACCTTAAGGACCCTTAGCTGGTTCCATGTGATCTGGTCTTGTTGCCTCCTCTTGAGTTAGGGTTGGGCCCCTGGAGCAAGCCAGGTGTCCTGTGCATACTAGGCTGCCTGTCTCTGAGATTCCTGTTGCTGCACTTGTGTGTTCTGGAGGGTGCTGTGGAGGGTCTTTGGGGACTCGGGGGCTGGAAGTGTAAGAGCTACAGAGCGACCTGAGAATGTTGGTGCTGGCTCCACTGGGCTAGCAAGCAGTTCTGTGGGGAAGTGAGGCAGCAGAAGATATGAGGGTGAGTCCTGGGGAGCTGGGGACCGGGGACAGCCTAGAGCACTGTCATCGGAAGGAACGGGGCTGGGGCAGCGGCCTTCTCCGGGTAAGTACCGAATGCATTTCTTTTTCCTCCTAGGAATAGTGAAGAGAGTTATCTGTAAACAGAGGGTGAGTCCATAGTCACACACCACAACCAGAAAATGGCTGTCCTTGAACTGGCCTGGCTAACCACTTTGTCCTCTCTCTCTGTGGCCTGGAAATTATGTCCATTCCTTCAGCCCCACCTGGCCCAGATCTAGGATGAGTGCAATTACACAGAACAGCCACTAGATGGCAAGAACTTTTTGTAGGTAGGCTTGTGGGCTGCTTCCAATTTTCCGGGGGAAGTATCTCTTAGTTTGGGTCCTTGAGCTACTACTGTTCCATGTCTACCTGCAGGGATTAGATAGGTATTAAGTCAAGGGACAGTGATGCTGTGAACAATCTTGGTTCTCACAACCAGGCTAGTGGAAGAAGTGCATGGTGACTGGTCAGACTATTTCCACGAGTCTCTGATATTATTACCTTGCTTTTTATATTTAATTTAATTAATTTATTTGGATTTTTCGAGATGGGGTTTCTCTGTGGCTTTGGAGGCTGTCCTGGAACTAGCTCCTGTAGACCAGGGTGGTCTCAAACTCACAGAGATCCGCCTGCCTCTGCCTCCCAAATGCTGGGACTAAAGGCGTGCACCACCACCGCCCAGCTACCTTGCTTTTTTTTAATAAGCAGGAATTCCATTTTAAGGAAATGAGGGTGTTTGTGGACTTTAATCACTCTGAGGCTAGGAGTAAGGGGCTCTGGCCACCTAAGTATGACAGATCTGAGGATCTGGTAACCCTGGCTGGTACCAAAGCCACCCACTTGTGTATGCCCTTCTTTCCGTCTGGAACACTGTCTTTCCCTCTCTACTTGTTCCACCTAGACTAGTCATCTCCACAGTCTGTGTTCAGTGTTCACACATGTTCTTAGAAGGCATGGGTTCCCTTCTCTACAGGGCTTGCTAAGGGACTAAGGGACAAGGAGGGGCTGCAGACCCAGCAGAACATGTGCATAAAGGGAAGCAGCTTGAAGCGAAGGGAGAATGATGGTGGGGACAAACCTGCACGGACCACACCAATCCGTCTGCTGGTTGAGGCCAAAGCGAGCACGACATTTCTTAGGCGAGCCAGGGTCTGCTCACAGCCATGCCAGAGGGGCAGAACAGGGCAGAGGGCGAGCAGGCAGGCAGCAGGGCAGAACAGGGCCCAGAAAGAAGAGGTAACATCAGTGTTAGCCAGTTACAGACACCCCATAGACCCCATAGGCAGAACGGACCTCTCCATGGCATAGCTGGCCCCAGGGGAAGCCTTGGGACCCAGAGCAAGGTTATGAGAAAAGGCAGTCACCCAGTTGGGCAAGAGTCAGTGGGAAGAATGATGGAGTGTGGAGGGCATTCTCATGCTACCCCTGCTTTGGCTGATCATCCTTCTAGCATGGAGGCTCCAGGACTGCACAGGGGTCCTCTAGGGCTTCTGCATTTTCTATCTTGGTGCTGTCTGTTCCCTTCCCCCAACTACCTGCATGTTTTAATGCAGTTTTCCCCTCATTCTTGCCAATGCCTCATCTCCCTCTGGCCCATAGTCTTAATAAGACTAAAGGTACAGCATAATGTTCCACACAGATGGAAAGAAGGACCTGTTGGAGAAATGGCTAGGGAACTTTTTCCTGTCCTGTCCCAGGCCTAGGCCCCAGCCTTCCTGTTTGGCGTAACATAGCTGAGAGAATCATAGATTGTCATCTCAATCAGAGTTAGGGATGGGAATGAGGCATACAGCAGGATGGGTTCTCTGGGCTCTCTGTAGCACTGTACGCTGCCAGGAGAAATGGGAACTAGCGATGGAGAAATCTCCACATTACCTGTCAGCAGGCTATGTGACCATTGGGTCCTGGCTGACATTTTTGGTTTAGACATGGAACCAGACGATCAGTTCATTAGCTTCTCTGGTGGAACCTAGCTGTGAGGAGGGCAGGCCAAGGTGGCATAGGGGTTTATCACTCTAGAGTTGGCTTCTGCTGGTCTGTGCCTAGCATACAGTTAAACTGTTACTTGCATGGGATTAGACTTCAGAGGTACAGGTTGGTTTCCAGAGGGCTTCAGGCCCTGAAGGTTCCTGGCTCAGTATTTCACCCCACCCTCTGGGCCAGAGCAGGGCTGTGCTTGAAATGGAAATATGGAGAGAGGAACCTCTATTACTACTGAAGCAAGGTCTCACCTGTGGTGGATTCTTGATGCTTTTCCCTTGACCGCCTCTTCTTCTTTCCCTGCATGGACAAGAGAGATGGTTGGTTCTAGGAGGTGGACGCTGGGTTATCTGCAACCTACTGCCTTTGAGTAATAGCCTTCCAGGTCAATAGGCCCCTCCTACTTTGAGGGTCCTCTTTCTTGGTTGTAGTTCTTGCAAAACGACTGTAGATAGGGTACATTTAGGAGTCTTTCCCTCTCAATCTGATCTCCCCTTTGAGTACAGGGAGGGATTTCTAGGCTCTTTTCCCCTTCTCATATGGCCAAACCAAATACTGGGCAACAGTCCCACCCACAAGTGAATGTATTCTGGAGTAGAGAACTGCCTTTAAGGGAAGTTGCTTAAACTTTCTCTTCTGAAATACCCAAGGGAGGTTGTGGGGGTCTCTCTGTGTTACTTTGCCTATACCATCAAGGCAAAAACTCCTCTTCCCATGTTGAGGTTGTTGCCTTGGGAATGGTATCTCAAAGGTTCCACCACCCTCCCCTGTGGTGTATCGCTGGCCACTCACGTAGTTATCCCGCGCTGACCAGCCTGGGTATAGCTGCATGTGCAGCTGCCGTTCCTTACGGGCCAGTTCATAGTACTTGGCCTGCTCTTCTCGAGACAGTGCATGCCACTGCAACAGGGAAGCGGAGTGGATGGGATGCATCACGGAGTTAGGACTTTGTACCAGGGTGAAAGGGACTGTGGGCAATCCCTGCCATCCTACTTGCCCATGGCCTTACCCTGCGACCCAGGATCTGGTTGATGGCAGCGCTTTCTTTGAGTGTACACTCTGCAATGACTTTGGCTCTCATCTCCTTCATGTAAAGCATGAAGGCATTGAGGGGTTTTTTGATAGTTGGCTTCTTAGCCTCCTTCTCTGCCTTGGGTTCTGCCTGTGTTTTTCTGGGATGCAAAACCAGATTACATTACTTGGAAAGCACCCCCCAACCCGTCTCTGCCCCAGCAGTGACCATTACCTAACACCACCAAGCCACCACATCCCCCCACTTTTGTTTTTTTGAGACAGGATTTTTCTGTGTAGCCCTGACCATCCTGGAATTCACTTTGTTGATCAGGGTGGCATTGAACCCAGAGATCTGCCTGCTTCTGCCTCCCAGCTCTTGGGAGGTGTGCACCATCATTGCCCAGCTGCACCGTTCTATGTAGTGGTTTGTAAGTAGAGTCTTCTAATTGCCCCACATTAGTGAGCAGAGAATGAAGTAACTGTTCCTTTCAAGAATACCATAGCCAAGTGGGGAAAACACAGACTCATCCATTTCCTTCTTGGCCTAGACAAAATTTTTGTTTCTTGTCCCTCCCCACCTACTTTTTCTTTTGAAGACCACAAAGCACAGCAATGGTCAGTGCCAGAGCTACCAGACAGCTTGGCAGGGCTCTCCAGGCAGTCCTTTAAGATGCCAGAAGAAGGCCTTGAACCTGGTAGGCGGCATGTATATCCTGGCTGTCCACTTCACTCTGCTCACCTGCCTGGCTCACACCTTCTTGTCCCCTCCTCCCAGCCCGTGTTTTGACTCACGGGCTTCGGTCATATGGCTGCAGCTCCTGCTTCCCTGAGGAGGGTACAATGGCCGGGTGAGGGATGGCTGCTGGGTGTCCAGGTACACCAGATCCCAGCATCAAGGATGGGTGGGTGAACCTGGAAGCAGGAGTAAAGGCAACACTAAACCAGAAATTTGGGCTAGATTTTGAACACATATGGAGGTCCCTGCACAGAGGACACAATTGACAGATATTTTATAACCACTGGCCTGGACACAGGGTACACAGATACATATGCACAGACACTGCAGAAGACCCACATAGGTGCTACTCAGGTGGTTATCAATCCTGCCCCTATCCACATGCTCAGGAGCCTTTGGCTGCCTGTGAGTCGTTTTGCTCTCTCACTTTGCTCCTCCAGTCACCTCTCCACGCAACAGACCAACTTTTTAAAAGAATGCTGCTAGCCCACTTCAGCTCAAGTTTTCCTGATACATAACAGAATAAAACAAGCTGCTGCTTGGGGCCTTTAAAACCCTACCTAAGCACCTCCACTACACCTCTCATCCCATCTTCCTCTTTCCCATCACCATCACCCCATCCCAAGCCAGCAGACAGTTTTCTCTGTCTACCTTTCTCAGGAACTGCCTCTCTGATGCATCATGCTTGGTTGGGGTCTTCTTGGGGCTTATCTTCAGCCCAGCTGGCCCATTCAGTTATTGTGCTGTATCTTTACCTCCTACTGTGGAGTGCTGAATGCCTTACCACAGCATGCCTGGCACTATGTCTGTCACTAGGAGAATGAGCTAAACATAGGGAGGACTATGTACACTCACCCCTCTATACACCTCTTTCCTGATGTTGTATGGAGACTACTCTGCCCTTTGCTGCTTACCAGGTGTAAGAACTCTGAGCAGACAGGCTCTAAAGGACAGGGGCTAGGGACACTACCTTCCAAGGTACAGTAGCCTTAGCTTGGGCAGAGCTCAGAGGACGTCCCAGCAGGGGTGAGCAATAGAGCTGAGTCATCCTGGCTGCTCTGGGATGCTCTGTCCAGTGTGGCTTGGGCTGAGACTCCTACTTCTAGTTGTATCTTCAGGTACAGAGCAGCATCAGACTCCAAGGTTACAGACAGACAGATGGACAAACAACTAACACAGGGTAAGCACTGGCCTGAACACAGCCCTGTGTGGGCACTGAAGCCTGGGCAACAGGAAGCAGGAGCCTGGCTGCAGGGATAGGGGACTCACCTGGGATAGGGGGCGCCAGGGGCTGCAGTGGGGGCAGGGAAGTGCTGTCTATATCCGCAGGAAGGGGACAGGGGGTAGAGAGGAGGGCTGGGCCTGTGGTTGGGAGAGACAGCTGTTAGCCGTCTGACTGCTAGCCAGACATGGGGAAGGACTTCTGTACCTTGTGCAGTGGGACTCATATATAGTGCTGCATGCATCTGGCAGTCTTCTCCCAGAAGCTGGTATCTCCAACCCCTCTACTAACACTGTCTGGATTGCTCTTCACCCCCATCTGCCTGCTTCAACTCTGTTTATTTTTTTAATGTGTATGACTGTTTTGCCTCTATGTGTATCTGTGCACCACATGCCTGCCTGGTGCCCTCCGAGATCTGAAGATGGGATTGGATCCCCTGGATCCATCATATGGGTGATAGGAACCAAACTTGGGTCCTCTGGAAGAGTAAACAGTGCTCTTAACTGCTGAGCCATCTCTTCAGCCCTGCTTCAACTCCAAAGCCTGGGATCCCAAGTGAATGAGGTGCCTCTCTGGGCTCCTAGAGTCCCAAGTCAAGAGTGTTAACAGTGCTGCATAACTGTTGGCTTCTTGCTTGGCTGTCCACTAGACAGACTTTGTTCTGAAAGGGCAAGGACCTAAGGTCACAGTCAGCTCTAATAGTGTTTCTCTGGCACTCAGATTTCTTCTCAGCATACATAGGACTCAGTGCAGAGGGTAAAAATGTCCCATGTCTCACCTGGCAGCAGCTAAGAACAGAGGTTCTCTTCCCTGGGCCTACACCCTTCTCCGAAGGCTCAGTTGGTGAATATCCTCTCAATGCTCAGATTTCCTAGTCTTTGGAGCTTCAGGCCTAAGGGACTTAGGAGGCTGTCCAAAGAGCTGCTTGTCCAGAGCATTGCCCTGGTTCCATCAGGCTAAGCACTGAGTCTTGGGGGTAATCACGGGTAGAATGGAACTTTGTCCAAAACAATCTGGAAATGGAGGAGTGTGCTGATCATGGATAACAGGCAAGTGGAACAGGGCAGGTAGGCCCAGGTTGAAAGTCTGGCCTTCACTGCCTTCTTGGGAAGACAGCCTTTCCTGCTACTGGCTAGAGACCTGCTCAGATCAAACTGATTAATGAGTAAAAGGCTGGCCAAGCGGCCTATTGAGACCCAATTCCAGCTGAGAATAGACTCTGGTCCACAGTCGGGCCTGGTCAGGGGAGTGGCTCAAGCAAACACCAGAAACCAAGGGCCCGGTTCCTCATATAACTCTACCACAGGTAGAGCAGACCAGCAGCAGACACTGAGAGGCATTGGATTCTCCTGGTGGAGTTTATGCATCTCCTTGCCCATGCTCAACTACCTTTCTCACCTTCTGGAGAATTTAGCTGGAGTAGGGTTGAAGAAGTATGTCAAGCTACCTGGGGGATGCTCACAGTCACAAGAATTGCTAGCTCAGAGCCAGGTTAGGCTAAAGTATGCTAGGGCAGACACAGTGCCCCTTTTTTCTCTGGGCCCACACTTACCAGCTCACAGTGTGGGGGAGCTGTCCCATGCTGCCTGAGGTCAGAGAGTAAAATCCAGAGAGATCAGGGGTCTGCAGCGGCCTGTGAACTCCTGTGGAGGAAAGGGGCCAAGTAAGCAGGCCACCCTCACCTGGGAGGTTGGGACATTCAGCCTTCCAAAGGGGCCTCTAAGATCCCATTTCCTTTTGCCAGAGGCCCAGATATCAGCTGGTTTGTTTAGAACTGTCCTAGGTAATAACAATGGCCTTCTGACAAAGCAAAAGGGACCAAGGACAGAGGTGCTGAGTGACTTGCCTTAGGACACTGGTTGGACAGAGGCAAAGCTTGGAGTCACTCAAGGATGAGGTCAGATCTCACCAATTCCTGGTGCACTGCTGCTCTGTCTTTGGAGCCTCTGCTTAGGACTTTGGCCTGGCTCTTTGGGTAGAAGGCAGCCCCCTAGTCTAGAGGAACCTGGCCTGAAGAGCCAGGGCTCCACCCAGCCCCAGGGTGAGTCAGCAGGTTTCCCACAGCTGACAATGGTGGATTTCAGAATGACTTTGGCTGAGGCTGAGGTGAATCAGCCATCACAACCACCACTTTCCATTTTCTCACTGAAGGAGAAAGGCCATGAGTTTTGCAGCTGCAGCAATGCGCAGATGCTGCTCTTACACTGGCCTAGGGAGCCAGAAGCCTCATTCTGATCTGGTCCACCTTCCTATACCCTTATGGTATTCTCAGATTCAATCCATATATATATATTTTTTTAAGCCTCTCTAAGGCAGAATCTTGTTTTTGTAGCTCAGGTTTGTCTGGAATTTACTGTGTAGCCCAGGCTGGCCTCACACTTCCAACCCCCCTACCTCTGCCTTCCATACTACTTGGATACACACCACACCTGGTTCCTTTCTGACATTTTCTTTGGGCTTTGCAAAGCCCCAGCTTCTACTATTATAAAATGTGGGCCAGGAACTTGGGCCACAAGTTCCTACCTCAATGGGCTTCTCCCATTCCCTTCCCATACCTTGCTTCTGGCTGATGTCCGCAGGTGCAGGGGTGGGGTGTGGACTGCTGAAATGTTTCTAGAGTGGAGAAAGCTGGGGGACGCCATGTGGGGGCTGGCCAGCCTTGTTATGCTGAAAAATGACCAGGAGGCTAGTGAACATGGAGTGTTCTGGGACGGGGACATGAGGGTGGAGGGGGCGTGCAAAACTTCTGTGAGCTCTGTGGCCACCCTGGCAGTCAAAAATAACAAGCTTATGGGAAGAAGGCACTCTGCACACCTTGTGGCCTATGGCACTGTTTTCCTGTGTCCCAATCCTGGAGACTGTTTATGCAGTCCCACCTAGTGAACCTCTTCTGGGACAGCCAATGTTTCTCCTCTCAGGAAGTCCTCCCTAGCTAGCCTCCTGCTCCCAGAGATCCCTCCTGACTCTATGAAGCCCAATGGCTGTCTGCAGCCTTTCCCCACCTTAGTTCTAACTGCATGTGTTGGCACAGGGCAGGGACCTCCTTTAGCCCCTAACTTGGGTATCTGGCTCCCTCCACAGACAGCTTGTCCACACATAGCTCTTCTGGTTTCCTTAGCTGCAGGACTTTTTTCACAGTCAAATGGTTCTGTCAAGAGATGACTGAGCAGGCTGAGAGCACATGAGCCAGCCACAAAGAGTTGCTCGCTGCCAGGCCTGGTGTCTTCAGTGCATGCCCTTGCAGCCAAAGTTTTGGGGACATCTACAACTGAGGCTGACCTTCAACCCAGACAAGTGTGTCTGTGGGAATGCTGCTGGCTGAAAGCACACAGGAGTGACTGCTCACCACAGCACAAAAGGGAGAAACAAGACATCTTGGAGGAGGACAGTAGATGGAATGCCTTGCAAAAAGCAGGTAAAGTCCGTGTGGGCATCTCAGCAGAGAATCCTTAGATCTTGGATATCCTCTCCTGGAAGTGAATGAGGCCTAGGACAGGTCCCTTGCTTGTTTGTTACTTGGCTACTGCAGCTCTAGGCTAAACCAGAGGGAAAGCTGTGCATGGACCCCAGTGTATCCAGGGCATGAGGCCTCTAACTGGGTGCAGCTCCAGAAGACTCTACAGTAGTCCTAGTCTGCCATCTTTCCCTGCATTCCTGCCTCCAGCTTGAAAGCTACACCCTTCCCTCAAGTCTTGGGCCATTCAGGCTTCCCGGTCTTAAACAAGAGTTGATGTCTGAAGCTAAGTATGTTGGTGCTCCCCTTTAATCTCAGAACTCAGGAGGCAGAGGCAAGTGAATGAGTTCAAGGTCTGCATAGTTCCAAGCCAGCCAGAATGACATGGTGTGCCCATTAAGGGAGGAAAGGAGTCAGCTGGGGTAGCTGTGAGATGTGTGGACACATATTAGGCACTGACTACCTGCCACATGCCAGGCACTGTGTATGTTTGTAAGTACCTCAACTCTAGGCCTAAAATGTCCCCAAACTCCATACTCTTGCAAGTGGTCTCTTACTGAGGAACATCCTCAGCCCTCAAATCAGAACTTTTGGCTCGGCCTGTGTGCTGTGGACTTCCTCGGTTACCAGAAGCTCCGTCCTTCCATGAACTAGGACTGCTCAGAACAGATGACCTGTAGTCATTCTTGACACTGACCTGTGTCCAATTTCACAGCAGATTCTCAGGTTCTCCCTTCAAAATCTAGACCATAACAATTTCCTGCCTCCTGCCCAACCAGTCTAAGCCATCACTTCTCACCTGGACCACTGACTGATCCTTTGTGCTCCTTAGCCAGGCTCGAGCAGACACAGATCATGTCACTGTGCCCGACTGTCTCCTTACTTGGTGAAAGGTAGCTCTGTGATCACCCCCTAACAGCAGTGCCTTCCACCATGTCTGCTTACAGTGCCCAGGAACCCAAAGTACTCTTACCCAGGGCTAAGTTTTGAGGTATACCATGGTGTAAAGGAAGTTTGGAACCTCTAGGCTTGCTAACCATTTGCTGATCCTGTCACTCCAGGATTCTGATCTGGGCTTCTCCCCCTCCTGAACAGGAATGAGAACCAGTCCTACCCACCTCATTAGTCATTTTAAAAAGTCTTGCTGAGGCCTTTTACAATTGGAAGCTTCTTGACAGTCTTCAGGGCCTTTTTACCCACAGAGATTACAAGACAGTGCCAGCCAGCCAGCAGCCTCGTGGCAACTCCACACCTTTGAAAGTATCAGACCCTGGTATAAGGCAATGCACCACTCACTGCCTACGGCCCAGTTTTTGCTTCCTGAGCTCTAGGTTGCAGTGCAGCTCAGGCTGGGCCTAAGAAACCTCAGAGATCCAGCTCGGCCTACAATTCCTGCCTGTTCTGGGTGGTGGTGTGTGTGCGCGCGCGCGCGTGCGTGTGCATGTACAAGGGAGTGAAGTTAGGGTTGGGGGTCCTGGGAGTGGTGGGCCTGACATATGTACTAGTGTTCCTGGTGTTTGGGGAAAAGCCTCATTAATTAGAAGTCTGCAGCCAAACCACAGAAGCACTGGGTGGGCAGGGTGGGGCAAAGAACCCACCAGCAGCTAGAGGCCCTGGGAGGCCAGGGCTCCAGGGGAGGCACTGTGGGCCTGGTCAGTCCTTCACCCAACTCCTCAGCTCCTTCCATGCTTGATGGTGCTAGCCAGGGGCCACTGTCTGGTACAAGGCTCCCTGCCCCCTTCAGCCAGTAGAACGTCCCGCTCCAGGGCTTCAGCACAAGGCTGTCTCAGTGCCAGACTTCCCAGACAACAGGGTGGGGTCGCCTAGGGCTTGGCATGTGCATGGGAAGTCCAGGGATTGAGCTCCACCTCCCTCTTTTGCTTGAAGGTGACTGTCCTTAGCCTCCAAGGGAAGGAGGCAGATTGGGTTGACTGTCCCTACCAGACACTGAGCAGCCCGTCAACAGCATAGTCCCATCATCTGCTTAGTACGGGAAAGAACACAGTAAGTGTCAGAGCATAGTGGGACATAAACATGCAACCATGAGTCAGGAGCTCAACTGCACTCGGATCTTTCCCCCACATCCCCCACTCCTTGCCTTTGCTTGAGTGCTGGCACCCCAGGACAGGTCCAAGACTCAGGCCCCAGGGGTGCCTACAGCTACCCTGCTATTCCTGCCAGGAGCTATCTACTGCTACCTACCTGGTGACTAGCTCCAACAGAGGTGGTCCTTCCTGCTACTGGCATGTTCTTGTTCGGAGACTCTCCCACACCCACCCTCAGCCACTGTCCCAAAGCCATCTTCTGGGAAGTCCCCAACTCCAGCGCCCGGCTACCTCCTCAGGCCAAGGCAGCACAAGGCTGAAATGGGGGACCCCTGAGCTCTCTGCTCAAGAGTTGAGCTTGGGCCTAGCTAGGCTGCCCGTGGCCCCCCACTTCCTGCAGGTTCAGGTAAAAAATAAACACAGTCGGCATTTTCCCTGTAGACCGCAGCGGTCTGTTCACAAGGCTGTGAGCTCGCTGAGAGCCCCTGTCACCGCCAGCAGAGAAACTCCCTCGCCTCTGACGGTTGACTCTAAAAACCCCCAAGTTCTTAAGCCCCACAACACTTTCCCAGCGAAGAAAGTTGCCGTTTCCTCTGGCCTCAAGCTCGATGGGGGCGGAAGAACAGGTCCTCTCAAGAAAGCCCTGTGGCAGGGTCTGAGCCAAAAGAAGCGTCTCTGAACATCCAGGACCCATAAGCTTGAACAAGTATCAGGATGTGTCCCTGAGCTCCTAGCATATGCCAGGTCAAAGAATGTCTGAGGCTGAGAACAGCATTTGCTAGTGCTGGGCACAGGACAGGCACAGTTCTGAACACCAGACACCCCTCCTTAAACAGACCTACCATTTGCAGACAGCCCAGTGACTATCTATCACCACTGGCAGGTAAGGAAACCGAAGCATAAGGTCACAGCTAGAGCTCAGCTGCCAACTGCTACAGTGCAAAGACCTGTGATTAGTATGGATAGAGCGGGAGGCTGGAGTGCAAAGGATCCATCAGTCTTCCCCTTCACCTGGACTAGCTTACACTTTGCTGAGTCTGTGCTCCTGACTAAAAATAGCTATCAAAAGCCTACTGACAGTGAAAGCCGGTATATGCCCCCAAGGCCCTAGCCCTATCTCCCTGCCCACCACTGGCATGCTCCTGTGTTAAGGAGACACCTAGCTGTCTGCCTCAATGCCTCTCTCTTCCCCTTCCCATGAGACTCCCTACACCTCGCCACATGGGCTCCTCCACAGACCTAGGCCACCTCTACCCTGGTGAGGGGTCTGCCAGCTTGGCAAGCAACTGCCTGAGCATCCTAGAGAACTAGCCATCTCCAGCTCTCTAGCTTTGCACTCAGGTCATTCCCTGAAAACCCGGAACAAAGGCCTGGCAAATTCTTGGTGCCCTACATTTCTGCACATCCTACCCACACTTGTCATTGTAGCTGGAACTTCAAGTCCCTCAGGGCAAGAGGCTGCTCCAGCTCCTCCTGCACAGCGGGAAAGTGGCCCCTAGGGAGCATCTGTGGAAGGAGAGGCTTCCACAGCCTCTCTGTAGGCTCTGTGCTCCAGGGTACACGCTAGCAGAAAGGTGGGCCACTGCCATGGCGGCTCACTCACTGTTTGCCAAGAGCACAGCAATGGAACCGAGTAGTATAAATACTGAGGCAACTCATCTCAGGCAGGCATTGAAGTGGGGCTTGTGAGAAAAGCATGTCATCTACAGCACACAGCTTGCTGGGCCCCTTCAAGGATTCTTGGGGTCACCACGGATGGCAGACAGTCACACCCCTCTGAACTTTCCTTTTCTCATTCTGCACCAGCTACAGAAAACTGGAGCGCTCTTCCTCCTGCCTCAAATACAAGAGACTGCCTCTGGGAGCCCTTTCCAACCCTCCATATGTGGCTGCTTCCCTGCTGTGTCCTTACCTGCCTTCACCCTGTGTTCTGGGATTATGTCTTTAACTTTTGTCACTGAACTAAAGCTGGTATCCAGGCTGTTTCTCTAGAAGCGGGTGCAGATAAGCCCACAAAGAGAAGACTTGCAGCACTGGGGAAGCCTAGGGCTGGATGTAGGATTACAGAGCACAGAGGAACTGGGACCACTTTAGGGTCAGGAGACAGTCTGACTAGCATCTGAGCCCCCTTGCTTTCCTCCTTTCTACTCCATCGACCTGAGGGACTC